AAAAATTTGAAAGATCTGGGGAGAATATTAGTATATTTGCTAATTGATATAAAAAAGAATTGCATAGCATACCAGCAATAGTTGCAGGCCGAATGGAGCAAGAAGCAATAAAATATCACATCTGAAGATGATTGTGGAAAAAATCTGAAATTAGAAAACAAAAACATTCACGTAATAAGAGCAAAATGGTTAATGGCTATTACAAAAAGGTAAAGAGAGATTATATTAGAAACACAAACGGATTTCAGATCCTTTTACAAATAAAGGGACCACAGTAAAAAATGAAAGATTCATAAGACCGAACAAATGTCCTGGTTAAGTAGTATGACAATTGACAACATACCAAACATCTCAACGCTGCATGGAAATTCTCATTGAGCCAAAAACCATATGTCAAATTAACTGCAAGAAACAAAATACGAAAAATATAAAATAACATTATTGTTCATTCACGTTTATGTGGGGGGGCATTATATATGAAACACATGATTGTGTGCATGGTGATCTGGCTCATGATGCTGTATTCCATCTTTTCAAGCGAAATTCTACATTATCAAAAACTAAGGTCTTGTTGTTCTTTTTCATCAGCAGTGTTAACATTAAAATATGGTTGAGCTCAGGCAACTCAAGTTGTTAACTTCTTTGAGATAGAGGATGTGTCTAAGGATCACTGAATATATAAATAGGGTTGGGTTCAAATAAAAGTGCTTCCTAGGTGAAAAATAAGAACTAATATTGGCATGTTAGGGGAGGGTTCTAGTGAGAACGCATTATAATGAGAACCCCTTATAATCACAACCTTTCATTTTTATTCAATCATTGATAGGATGCACAAGGGGTCCTCTGTGTAATTATTCAAAATTCAAATGGGATACTTTTTGTAATTATTGTAAAATTATTACGAAAATGAAACCTTGTTTATTCTAGTTTTTGATTTGATATATCAAATGTGGACAATAAAAGTTCTCATTTAAAAGGGATTCTCATTACAACCTCTCTCTCTCTCTCTCTCTCTCTCTCTCTCTCTATATATATATATATATATATATATGGGATCAAATAAAAAGTGTCCTTCATATGAAAAGTGAGAGCCAGCTGAGAATAAATCGGGACTACTAAATTTATGATCTAATGGTTCTAAATATGTTAAAAATGCATTAAAGTGGATGAAAACCACAGTGCATTTTTGTAAATAAATCAAAAATATCTTCATTGTATAAAGTGCACTTCCAGTATGTCATAGTGTATCATATCTAATCAAAAGTGGATTGTACAAATCATCGGAATGCAATAGTACAACACAAATGATCAAAAGTGGAGACGTTCGCACTTTGCACGGGAAAACCACTTTTTATGGGAACCGGAGGACCCTATATATATAATCAACAATGTGCCTAAAGATCAGTGAATGTAAACATAAATACATAATCAACAAGTGACAGTATAAAAGTAAAAACTATGTCTAGAAAGACGAAGGTAAGACCGTAAGACTCACCTAAACAAAATGCGAATACATTAGGAAGAGGCCGAGTGCAGTAAAAAAGCATATGAAACTGAGAAGCTGTAAGTATCACAAAAAAAGCTTCAACTTGACGTCCAAATGTCTTCCTGATCTGCTATAATGAAGTTGTTTAGGTTACCATTTGTCAAATGATGTTTTCAAAACACTAACTAAAGCTTTTTGTTGAAAAGATACTTAAATCTTTGTCAGGAATGCAAAGAGCACATGATTCCTCGGTTAGAAGGACCAAAGATGATCCATATTTACACTGAAGTGGAGACAAAATATTGATTTTGAAAAACTATGATTCCTGGCAACTGTATGCATCCACCATAGTTTTAATTAGACACTAACTTTATGTTCTAATAAAATCATGGCGACCTTAATTAGGCATAATGAAAACCATTGCCAGTGTCCCAGTACCCTAGGAAACTTAGTTAGGCATCCGCATAAAAAGGGCAATTATGACAAGCCTTTCATGTTTCTTGATTACAGATCAAATAGAGTACTCTTAGAAGCTTCTGAGAAAACATAATTGAATGCAAATAAGCAAACCATCTAGATACGGTTAAGAATGTAAGATTACTAGAATGAAAAAAGTAAAGCAAATCCGCATAAGGTTTGACTGTTTACTATGTATAAAGAAATTACGTACCTGTTTCCTAAAAAACCGCAATGTAAATAAAGTGATGCAACCTAACACCAGTCTAACTGCACAAGAAAATTAAATCCACAAGAAAATAAGAAAATATAACACAAATGAAGAACATAATTCTTATCATGCAGCTTGGAGATTTAGGTGTTGGTGTGATATAGATTTAACATGTTGCCAGATTTGGGCAACTTGCGACAATAAAAACCCAATGAAATAATTGTACACTCAACCAAAACGATTCAAAGAAAACATTGGGTGAAATGAAATATGTCAAACATGCACATCAAGCATTAAAAGAACCATAGCATGCCTTGTGCCAATGGAAGAGGCCTAAGACCCTAAGTGAATGATATCATTTCAAAAAAATGAACACAAGCAATCAAACATAATTTTATAAGAAAAAGAAGATGCCACGAATATTTGGAAGACAGCACTATGTCATTGATAAATGAACTCACCCACATAAAGACCATAAATCTTTGGCAAATGTACCAAACTCATTGCTGCAACAATGGGAGATGCCAATATTGATACAAAGAAGGCACCTGCCAATTAAAGTAGTTTCTTGGAATAATACCGGAAGTGTTGACAACAAAACAACATATTAAGCATTTGCCATTTATGATACTGAAGTAAAACAGAGAAAGAAAAATAGCTCACCAATAAATGTGCGAGGAACAACTCCAGGGAATTCAAAATGATCATACTGGCATTGTTCATCAAAGGTAGCAAATTCAAGTCTAACATCAATAATAAAGCTAAATACCAAGAAAAGTGAAAATTTACCTTTTCTAAGTGATATCTATGGATTAAAACATCGTGCATGGCCTAGTCGACAAGGGAAAAAACGAACACCCCCATTAAAAATCGACATTGGAAACTGCTTTAAATGCAACTTGTTTCTATTCAGTATTCTCTCTGGTTGTAGTTTCTCCAAAAATATGAAACAAGGTGTACCTGAACGTTAAAGCTTTCTTCAACCTTAGTGTAGGGTACAGCTAAGACATAAAACGCGGCAATTAACCCCAACAGCATATCATATCCTATCAAAGAATGTTGCGAAATTTCAATTGCTAACTTTGTTTAAGGTGAAACCAATACTGTAATATAGATTGGACGGATTACTTATTATACTCCGTGGTCCGTATTACCGTAAAGCGTGAAGAAACTCGCGGAGTTGCCAGCCAGGGGCGGATCTGCAGGAGGGTCCAGGGGGACCGGTGCCCCTGCTTCTTCCGTGCGATGTAGGGTATAGGATGGGGTTGGGGGCGCCGAACTATTCCTCTCCATTGTTCCCGCCGGCGAGTGTTGTTTGAAGGACAGGGATGAACGAATTGAACGATGGTCATTCACTTTGCTAAGTTTAACTTTTAATTAAGACGACGTCGTTTGATGTCCTGGGAAAAAATACTAGGGTCGATTGGGAAAGGCAGGCCCAACAGCTAAACAGCCCAAACGAACAAACATACCATGGCGTCATGGCGGTGACAAGGGTCGGTGTAATTCGTATCAATAATCCGTACTTTTATTGATTTTATAATAATAATCTCTACTGAAAAAGTCAATACAAATAATCCAAACTTGTAAATATGTCTACATAGATAGATTAAACCTTCATAGATAGATTATTATCCTTTAAGAAAATAATTATGGTAATGATATACATAGTAAAAAACACTAAACTCACATGTATGACAATGGTGAACAAAGTTAATGGTGTATCCTTATATTTTAAATATAAAAAAGTTTAATCTAATCTATCTATGTAGACATGGAATATAAAAACATTTCAGCCCAGCTGGTTGTAAGGTTATCGTGTCTAGTGGGAGGTCTCGAGTTCGAAATACGCTAGGCACACAAGGGTTTGAGACTCAATAAAGTGAGTTTCAGCCCTGATGACTCCAAGTACCCCAGATTCCCTGGAGTAAAAAAAATATGGATTATTTATATAGACATCTTTGATAGGGATTATTATTGTATAACCGTTAAATGTATAGATTATTGGTATGAATTTCGCCTATTTATTTTGTAAACTTGTACGGAAGTATTAATCATGATTACTCACTGTATTCGAGCTATACAAATGGTTGCAGATTTATTTATAGAAAAAATATAGTGAATATGTTGTCGTGGTAAGTGTTGTAGGCTCTCTTATACATAATCAATAATGATATATTATTGCTATGAAATTATGAATTTGTGATAGCTTGAATTAATTATTTTGGTTTTGACCCCTCAGGTTAAAAATAAATCTAACATTTTCATTTTAATTTGACATTATTTGGACCAAATGAGGGCTTGAATGTTTAGGTATATACATATCCCAAAATGCAAAACCTTTCAAGTGTTATTAACCTTAAATCAAGGATATATTAGGCTAAAATATTACGACGATTCCACAGATGATTTTGTTTCTGGAACAAAAAACTAAATTTTAATTCTACGTACAACCCTGTTATAGGTACCCCAATTGGTACCCCCAATTTGTACTCCAACTTATTTTTGTGGCTCACAAAAGTCCACCTCAATAAATGAATTGCCCCACTTTAATGAGGTGCTTTTGTGAGCCACAAAAATAAGGTGGGGGTACAAATTGGGGTACCAATTGAGGTACCTTTAGTATTTTTCTTCTACGTATAACAATCTCATCACCGTTTAGGCGTTTAGCAAGCGAGAGTGCACATTAATGGAAATAGTTAGCTAGCTAGCTACTTGCCTACATACATAATACGAAGTATAATGGTAGATTATATGGTACCCTTAAGGTACCATACCTTTGTCCACATGGACCAATTAAAATGATGTAGTTCAATTATTTAAATCTAAATTAAAAATGTTTTAATGGTGTGAACCAATCAAGTCAATGGTAGGTACGGTACCCCCATTTTTTAAATGGGTACCAGAGTTGTCACCTAATATAATATTGATTTTTTTTGCGAGAAGAAGGCGTAGGAGAAGGCGCGGGAACCATTGCCAGAGGATGAGATCCCGGCGAGCCGCCACCACAATCCTCCGTGCATGCATCAAGCTCCGCCATCACACATTCAAGATAATCTTTTTCCCCGCCGACGCAGTCATTGTCGGGGAAGCACTTATCCATGCAATCCACATCAAGATCACCGGATGATGACGAAGAAGAAGAGGGGTCTCCATGCAATACTAACACATTCAAAGCACACATTTCCATCAATAGTACCACAAGAATCTGTCTTCGAAAAAACTTCATCTTTTCCTGTTATGGATGTCTAGAAGATAGACAAATATGTCTTATACTTCGTGTATATATATAGACACTACATTTAATTAGTTTGATTTTTTTTGTTTGGTCTTGTCTGATTAGTACTTGAGTCTGGTTATGTGACTATGTCTGGTCTTTATGTATTTTATGACTATTCAAGTCTAGTCTGGTTGTGTTTAAGTGTGGTCTGATTTTGACTTGTCTAATATGGTTTGGAAACATCCAAGTAAAACATGCTTAATTAATTTCTACAAGAAAGTATATACGGAGTATGAGTTTTTAAGAGCAGAAAGTGTGAAATTAACACACGCATTTTTTTTAAAGTTATACTCCAATCCGTACGTACTGGCTAAGTTTTACTACCTCTGTCCTTTTTATATTGGGACGGAAAAAGGTGACACGAGTTTTAAGAAAAGTGAGTTTGTGTGTTTGATATTAATTGATAAAGTAAGAATAAAGTAAGAATGATTTTGAACCACACAAACTTTACCAAATAAGGTATGAGACAATTAAATAGGGACATCTCAATATGATAAAACGAGACATTTAAAAGAGGACGGAGGGAGTATTTAGTAAAGATAATCCACTCAATTAAATGCAATTAAATGGGCAGTTTCATTTGAAGTAGATCGAGGAGTTACCTGTTACTACGTATCATCTATAACTGTTATTCATCCTCAATACGGAGTAATAATTAAAAATAACCAATTAATTACTGTAAATGCTAAAGTTGAAGAAGAATAGGAGGGTTGAATGGTTGATAGTTAATTGAGAGTTCGGTTACCTTAATCATGTGTATAGGTTTTAAGTTTGATTTATAACAGTTATGTTACCTTAATTATGTGTATAGTACCTTAACACATGGTACTTCCTGTGTCTCCTTGGGTAAAGGTTTTAGTTTGATTTATAATGTTTGATTGCCAATAAAGTTAACCAGCCCCTATTAATAATAAGATTATTTTTAGTAAATAAAATTTACATATTCAGAAACTATATCAAGTTTTATAAAAATCGCAAAAAGAACTCAAATTTGATAAAAACTTAATATATAAAGTACTACCACCATCTCGTTGACATTAGGACATGAGGAAAATAAGAATAAAACAAGACTATTGGAACCACACAAATTTTACTAAAATTGGTATGAGTTAATCTTTTTAGGGCATACCGGAAAGGAAAGATGGACAATCCTAGCGGGGCGGATGGAGCAAAGATTCGGAACTATTTAGATTGACCGGAGAATAGTAGCTAGACGAGAATCTTTACCTGGGACGGATCACTACTGAAGTAGTACAATATAACTCCATATTAAAGATATGTTCGTTTTTCATCATCATCATTACCCCAGTGTCCCAAAGGCTCCCACATATGGTGGGGTAAGGAAAGGGGGGTCGGATGTACGCAGTCTTACCTCTGTACTAAAACACGTAGAGATTGTTTCGGGATGATCCATGGTGAAAATCGCGTTGGAAATTGCATGAGTTGACTGCTGCTTCATAACAAAGAAGCGCAGACAGTTTAGTGAGTTATTTTGCTTTATTTCATCATATTCACAAACCAAAAAATAGTGAATCTTTGGCTCCATTGCTAATGATGGAAGCAAAGATATGTTCGTTTTTATTTGAAATATTTTTTTCACTTATGTTTAACTTTAATAATAATAATTTATGTTTAATTTTTACGCTTAAGTGACCATGACACAATACTATAGTAACTATTATTTTTTTTCTTTTTTTGTAAATCAGTTGTATTTTAGTAATATTTTTGAAAAAAAACTAAAAAATACTTACATACTTATGAATAAAATAAAGATTTCTTATAAAAATGTGACAAAAAATATTTATTACATATATGCAACTAATAACATATTTATAACAACAAAACTTTTGGATTTGATCGGAATAGTGGAATACCACAAACAAGTAAGGTATGTTTGACACAACTAGTTGAAATAATCCTAGAGAATACTCATTTAGGCCATTAGTCGTTTAACTAGTTAATCATTTCTAAACAACTACTGAACTACATAAGCAGTAGCCACCAACAAAGATACGAGAATGGGACTAAATGACTATTGACTAGAGAGAGTAAACCACAGGGTTAGAAGAGAAGCAGAGATCAATTGAGATAGAAATTGTTGACAGAAATTGGAATTTGAGAATTGCGGAAACTGCCTCTGTTTGTCCCTGTATCAACAATCAAACTAACAATATATGATAGAATAGATAGAGTAGAGAAGAAACGATGATCACATTCAATACCAAACAATGATCTCGAATTGTACAGAAACGGGTATCGAGAAAGGAACTCGGCTCTCTCTCTTACTATGCGCTAATGTGCGTGAATATTCTGTAAAGGCTATTTGCACATTCCCTTAAAGGCAGTATTTATATGCCTAGGGAATGTGTGATGTGACCTAAGCATGATTGGGCTCTTTCATTATTTGGGCCCAATAACACACTTTACACATTTCCTAATAAAGCTAGTCTAATAATAGCTAACAAAGATCCCAATGGGATAAAATACCTAGACAAAATAGCTACACAAATACAAGGATATTTATCAGGATTGAACACCATAATTTTTTTCCTCAACAATCTCCCCCTTGGTGTTCAATCATGTTCAATCAGCATTGCAGCGCGGATATCTTTGTCTTTGTGTTGATTCAGCAATGTAGAGGAGAGCGTAGATAACATTTGTTGAGTTGCTCCTCTTTTGTCTTGATCTTCAGTGCAGCTCAGCTTCCTTTATCTTGGTCTTGACAATTTGTTATTGTTAGAAAATGTGTTAGTAAATTGCATTAAATGGTCATTTTGGGGCAATTTTTTGAGTGGGGTCCACTTCCGATTTGGGTCGGGTCAAAGTGGTTTCGGATTGTCCTTACTTAGGGCTACAATTCGATATATGGTACGCTCAAAACGGATAACGGGTGAATGAGAAATCGCTTTTCGAAGTTTACCCGTTGGAATGGAGAAAACTAGGAAAATGATGGGTTTCTAGTGTGGTTTTTCCCACACCGGAAAACCCAAGGGAATTTGAACCCTTTATAAAGGGAAACCCCCCTTAAGGAGTTAAGATTCCTTAGGGTAAAGGCTCTCTCCACGCGCGCAAGGGGGGGGGGGGGTGCGAATCAAATCCCGAAATCGGAGAACAAAAAGCCCGACTTGCGTGCGCGGGCGACCTGCGGACACGAATGTCGTCCGAAAATGCTATCTTCTAAAGATAAACGTTAATTTTTGTTCCTCCGTTAGTTTCCTAATTTTTGCTCCATGTAGGAGCAGGCCACTGCTACGTCCGCAGTTGGCTCGGCAGCAGGCTGCTGCTCTGTGCGAGCAGTTGGCTCCGCAGCAGGCAGCTGCTGAGGCGTTACAACGCCATAAATGCCCAACGTTCCTTTGCAATAAATGGACGGTTTTTTGGACGAATCAATGCCAACGAGCTGGACATTGATTGCCAACGTTCATATCCATTAAACCTCCATTAACACACCTCCAAATCCTTCCTATAAGTACCTGGCAGGTGATTTGCAACAATACACCACTCACAAACGTACTCACACAGTTTTTGAGCTCTAGAAAAAACATCTCCAGTTTCCCAAATTCTTTCTGTGTTCTAAGCTTTGTTCTCGTTCGTTGGAACTCTAGTTTGAGTGCTGAACTATTGTTCGAAGTCATCGTATCCTGGGAAACGATCGTTGCAACGCTCCTAGCACCCCGGGAGGCAACGAATACGTTTTAAGGAAATCGTGCGTAGCACGAGCTTTGGCTTGTTCTGCTTCATCTCATTTCTCGTTTTCCTTTAAGTCATTTTATTTAATTAATTTTATTAATTATTTTCTTAGTTTTTCGAAACACGCCCAACAGTTATTTGATGCCAGGGTTTGAGGAATCTTCAAAGTCTTGCATGTAGTCTTTGTCTTCAAGAAGTTGCTCTTGATCAGCTTGAATGAAGTCCGATGACGCCTCTAGAAAGAATGTTCTAATTATTTCTAGGCGTGCATGGGACTCATCTTCAGTACTTGAGTATTTGACCTTTGTCTCCTCCAAAGTGTAGGTGGCGCAGTGGAAAAAGATTTCTTTTGAGGAGATATCATTGGTGGCACAGCGGAAGATAATGATTGTCTTGTGAGCATACCTGACCATTTGATGTGAAGCTGACTTGGGAGCCTTGATTATTTCTACTACGGTAAACAATCTTACACTTGTAGTTTGTCACCTTGGTGAACGAACTTGCTTTTTGTGTTTCCGAAGAACGTAAGAAACGGAAAAATGACTTCTCAAGAAAATGAAAATGTTGTTGGGCAGAATGCTTTGAACGGTTTGAACGATAATCACTCTGAAAGCGGAGCACCGGTGAACAATGGTTCACAACGCGGTGCATCTGCTTTGGTTAACCAAAGGGCTATCCCTATGGTGACCGTGCCGAGCAACTCTGTGGAGAAACCCGAAAAATTTAACGGGTTGAACTTCAAGAGGTGGCAGCAAAAGATGCTCTTTTACCTCACTACTCTCGGCTTGGCAAGGTTCTTGACCGAGGACGCGCCGGTTGTAACCGGGAGTGAGGTAGATGCGCAATCTCTCAACGCGGTTGAGGCTTGGAAGCATTCTGACTTCCTTTGCCGAAACTATGTGTTGAACGGGCTGCACGATGCTTTGTACGACGTTTATAGCAAATTAGCTACGGCTAAGGAGCTATGGAATGCTTTGGACCACAAATATAAAAGTGAGGATGCCGGCGCAAAGAAATTTGTTGTTGGTCGATTCCTTGATTTTAAAATGGTGGATTCGAAGACGGTCTTGAGTCAAGTTGAGGAGATGCAAATGATCTTCAACGAAATTCGAGATGAAGGAATGACAGTTAGTGAGTCGTTCCAAGTGGCGTCTATTATTCATTTATTGCCGCCGGCTTGGAAGGATTTCAAGAACTACCTTAAGCATAAGCGAAAGGAAATGAACTTGGAACAATTGATCCTCCGTCTGCGGATTGAAGAGGATAACCGGAAGAACGATGGGAAACTCCCAATTGTTCACGGCGCCAAGGCCAACGTGGTGGAGCATGCAAAAGGCTCCAAAAGTAAAGGCAATGGGAAGAGCAAGCTCGGTCCCAAAGGAGGCGTTTCCAAACCCAAGTTTAATGGAAAATGCTTCAATTGCAACAAGAACGGACACAAGTCCTCGGATTGCAAGGCACCAAGGAAG